GTAGTCATTAGTTTTAAAACATTTAAAAAAAATATTTCTAATGGTGATTGAACCATGAAACTTTTTATGTAGCGTAATTATAACCTAACTTAGCTGAAAATAAGCCTAGAACCTAGAGTAAACTCTCCCTTTAAGTTTAACTGGAGATTGTGTAGTTAAGTGGTTTTTTTGTTTGGCATTGATCTACTTGCTATACCATGATATTTGCTAGCCCTAACTGATAAATGTGAGCTCGTGAACCAAAGCAACATTTGTTGCATATAATATATCAACAGAAATCCGTTTGGTAAGGAAAACCTCGTCGCAAGTAAATACTTAAAATAGTCATGGAAAGATTCTCTCAAGAGATGGCAGCACTAGTCTGCACATGATGTGTGTACTGTCTTGTACTTAACTGCTATATTTGGTGGCTTATTTTGGTTGCCATGCATTTCGACGTTATTTTCGACCCTCAGTTCCCGTTTGAAAAAAGGCCGTGTGCCTTGAACAACGAGGCTTGGTACTAAGTGGTTAATTTTTATAAAAACATCAAAGTGTAAAAATTAAATCTAGAGTAAATTTGTCTTTATTACTCTCATTTTCTAGCTGTACAAGAATGCAATGGGGAACAAAGTCAGCCAGGGGCACATATATTTACATAAAAATCAATCTAACCTTAGTTACACATACAAATTGAATTATTAAACAGTGCTAAGCACCTAAAACAGCAATGCACATAATGTGGACTTATGAACAGTAAATAGTCACATGTATAGGTATGTGGAATGGGCATTGGTAGGAATTATCAGGTAAGATACTAGCTAGCTAACTACTATGTATTGGCAGCTAACAATAGACTACGCGTTGGCAGGTAACGGTAAACTAAGCGTGCGGGTGTGCGTTAGCAGTTAAAATCAAAGTAAGTATTGGCAGCTAATGCTAGACTATGCAGCATTAGGAGCTAATGACAGATTAACAGGTTATGTCTAGTGCTTAATGACCACCTTCTTCACAATTCAGATCATCAATTGTCACACATGCCAACTAAAGGCAGGTAGTCAATGTATTAGAATGCATGATACCTTGTTACACTGTACGCTCTTGCTGGCAGTTTGTCATAAACTTACAATAATAATCTAACCAACCATCTTACATTAGGGTTAACTGGTTTAAAAGTTCGGCCTGCTGTTTAATACACCTTGTGTGAATCTAACAAATCAACATGATATAGCGTGAATGTATCTATGCTAATATAGATGTGTGCACTGCTGTAGTAATTGCATCAGTTCATGTATAAAACACAAGATCATGGTAATAATATGAAACACGAGTTTCTGTACACAAGTTCACTGTAATCGGACCCAGTGATACTGGTCTAATATCAACTCTTCAGCCTAACGTGGCAGCTTGCAGCGGCCATTTAATACAACCTATTCCCATGGTGCCATCAAAGAACTAAACAGTAATAGCAGAGAATAGTAATAGTGAATAGAGTATGAGAGTACAGTAAATGAGTATGGTAAGAGATGAATGAATGTTAATTATAATAGTTCCCTCCACGGTTGAATATTAATCGTAGGTAATAGGCAATAGAAGGAACATACCAATACTATCAGGGATGAATAAAAACGAGAAAGCAGCTTCTATTGACTCCTGACACTATACTATCAGGAGCGAATAATAGAGATCTCTATTATTCACGCCTGATTGTATAGACTATAGTGTAGATGAGCTGTTGACTATGGTTACTGTACAGCTGCTAGTCTTGCTGCTGTTGTGAACCATGCCATCGCCGCGCACGCCACCACCCCAGCGCGCGACGGCGCAAACCCCAGGGCGGCGCCACCGTACGACGCCGACTGCAGCGTCAGGCTGTCGGGGACGACGCGTCCCTCGAAGCGGAAGCTGTCGCCGGCGGCAACGGCGGCGAGCGAGTGCATGCCGTGCGCCTTGCTGCGCAGGAAGTTGCTATAGCGACCGTTGTTGATAACGAGCACGGAGCCGCCGGCCATGCTCAGCTTCCCAGCATGCACGGCGGCGGCGCACATGTGTGAGTCGCTGCGGTAGATGCCCGTCCCGTAGACGACACCGTCGTCAGCGGCGGCGCACCCTGGTGGGCACTGTACGCGGACCGGCACGCCGGCCGGGCCAACGACCTCTGCTGCTGTCGTTGTGCACTCCGTCTGCAGCTGAAAACATAACGACAGATGAGCTACAATACACGCATATAATAACACGACTACTACTGCGAATAATATTACATTATACTACTACTACTACTACTACTACTACTACGATTAATATTACATATAATAATATCAGGAGTAAGATAATATAGGATCCTATATTAGGATCCTATATTATCTTACTCCTGATAATATTAATAACAATACTACTACTACGAATAATATTACATAATAATAATACTACTAATATTACATAATAATAATACTGCTACGACGAATAATATTTATATATTAATGCCTGTTGTTGGGGGCACTATGCTCTGATAGTGTTGCTTTGGGAAGGTATAGTGCAAAACAACACCTATTCCTTCCCAAAGCAACACTATGAGAGCATAGTGCCCCCAACAACAGGCATTAATGTTTTTAGTGCATCACATCAAGACTTTGCAATCTACTCGGCAAATATGAAGTGAATAAGACAAAGTTTCTTAAACGAACAATTTCAATTTGTATTAAAACACAAACGTAACACATTGCAACTGGAATAAACATTGGAATAAAAGTATTGTCCGACTATCGCAAGCGCACTGCGCACTGCGCAAGCGCACTGCGTCGCGCAAGCAATAGTGCGCGCTCAGGCGGGCACTATTGTTTCATAGTACCTGCGACGTTATCCAATAGAATTTCAACGATTTATCATGTGATGCACTAATACATAATAATAATACCACTACTACAAATAACATTACATTATGAATTATAATAAATAATACTATGAATAATACTACTATTACGAATTATATTACATTATAATAATGCCGCAGTAGTCCTGTGTTTGGGGCAAAGGCGTAAAAAGCTGGCCTGGGATTTATTCCGAGGTTTGGTTATTACTTAGTGGGAGGGCATATATTTAACTCGTCCGCCTGCAGTATTTATTCTCACCATTTAGTTTAATGAGTTTCGCATGCCGAGCATGTCTATAAGCGTAAAGTGAGACGGGATGCCAGCGTTGTTTTGACAGACTGTCCCTATTATAGTGGTTTTCATAAAGCGCGGAGAACACACACACATGTAATGCGAGCACCAGCTGTATTGAAACTCGCGGCCCCCTCCCCGTCTTCCAACACTCTGGTCTTTGCTACTGTAGGAGTAGGTGGGCTATGGGAGGGGAATCAGAGAAGTTCACCCGTGTGTTAGTGGAGCGGGTGTCTAGTATAGCGAGGAGTGTGTGCGTCTGCATCCATGCAGCTTGGGCACTGTGGTTTGTCTGGGTTCTATCAGCGTCAGCCTGGAAATTTTATACGTTCCGAGCTATGGTCGTTAATCATACTGGAGATTGTCACAGCCGTACAGGACCGTAGGGTGTAGCCCCGACTACATTGTAGATGGGGACCATTCGTGTTCCTACCCATCACTGGAGGTGGGCAGTGTTGGGTGGGGGGTGATACTCCATTAGGAATAGGATTAGGGTTAGGGTTATGTTATAGGTTAGGTTAGGGTTAGGGTTAGGGTTAGGATTATCAATCATTAATCATTAATCATTAATCATTAATGATATCAAAGTTGGGAACACTCCTAATGGAGCTCCCTTGGCTGAGGTGGGGAGCTGGTGCACAGTGATGTAAGTGTAGCTGGAGGCAGTCTAGATGGGATTGATCGTAAAGCTCTGACAAAGATTAGCACAATCGTAAAACGCATTGTGAAACAGCATGGGGAAATTGCGATTGGTCTGACCACCTATTTAGGATGAAAAGCTCGCGGGAATATAAGACAGAACAGTGGCAACCACCATGTTGCCATGCCTCATGTAAATGGACTATCTGGCCTAGTGAGATAATCACGCCCTCCGGTTATTATTGCTAGGTTGGCCAAACTGGACCCGTTTATACGTCTTGAACTGTTTTTCACACGTGCACGCTAATATAGTGAAGCGATTTTGCAGCACTTTGTTGCCAAGAATTGTGTTTTGGAACATGCGATCGTAGTATCGATGGTACCTGCCAGGCATGCGAGTGCATGTAGATCAGTGGTTCTTAACCTTTTTTTGACTCATGGACCCCTTTGAGAATCTGGTGAAAGCTACCGACCTCTCCCAAAAAAAATTCTCATAAGCACATAAACACAAATTTTGCATGTAATGGGAGTCACGGACCCCCTGAAGCTCATCCACGGACCCCAAAAGGGTCCATGGACCACTGGCTAAGAACCCCCGATGTAGATGAGTTGTGGTGATTTTATGACTTACCTCTGACCGCTGCTCGCACGCTGGCTCGTAGCCACTCCACGTGCCGTCGTCCAAACACGTGCGCTGATTCGACCCCGTCAGCGATTCACGGTAGTGACACCTGGTGGTAGCAACGAGACATTAGTGGTTCTGCAGAGTTGCTCGTGCAACAGTGGCGCCATCTAGGTGTTTAATGTGTCTGAATGAGGAGAGGGCGGGGGTGGCTGGGTTTCTGATCGCGTTTGCGGCGGCTCTGTAGAAGTTCTAAGAAACGTGTGAAATAGAGATCTGATGACTGTCATTACTCTCTACCTAGCTAGAAAGTCCCTAATATTGGGTGCATATTCATCACACTCCCCCATGTGGATGGGTTAGGGTTAGGGACCAACAATATACGATAGCGCTATACTAGTACTGTTTCTGAATTATGTTGTTACTATTGTGGATGGATCTGTTTTATCAACTCTCGTTTATTGGTTGATGGCATCAAGCTGTAAAGTATGAATAAACTGTGCTGCACTGACGCTGGAACGTGTGCATAGCTGTTTGAGCCCCTCACCAGTAGTGTAGCGTGGCACCTCGAGCAAATCTCAGCGTGTGGTTGCCACGCATCAGCCTCTGGGCGCCAGGCGGCACGCCGGGGTCCACGCACGGTGGCGCCCCCGCGGCCGCTGCCGGCTCCGACGAATCTGCTTCGGCATCGTCGAGGAACCGGAAACTGTCTGTGGTGTGTAAGCCGCCAACGGAGGAGATACCGTTGTTGGTACTCGGCTGGAAGCCGCTGTACTCTCCGTTGCCGACGATGAGCAGCGCCCCCTTGTGGGTCTTGCGAGCGTGAATGGCAGCGGCGCACACCTGGAATAACGCGCGATATTATACCTGTGTAAAAATCGAATCATAATCAATATAAAAAAAATATGTATCTATATTATATGTGTGGGTGCCTCTGTGTGTGTGCGTGCGCGTGCGTGCGTGCGCGTGCGTGCGTGCGTGCGCGTGCGTGCGTGTGTGGGTGTGTGTGTGTGTTGGATGCAGAGTGAAGAGTCGAGAGAGTGCAGTAAACACATGAAGGGTGGCTGTCAGCGATAGTGGTAGGCACTCATATTATATATATATATATATATTATATATAATATATATATAATATATATAACCAAGGTTAATAATGACAAATGTTTGTCATTATTAACCCCTGATATATCTAATATGAGTGCTACATATATAGGGATAGAGGGTAGAGGTAGAGCGAGAGATATATATGTGCGAGGTAGAAATAGATGTAAATATACGAGCAGCACTCACCTGCGAGTCTGCGGCATAGATTCCCGTTCCACATACGTAGCTGTCGTTGATCGAGTCTCGGCAGTGACGGGCTGGGCAGTGCACTCTGACGGGAGTGCCCGTTGCTGTGATCACATCGGCACCGGTCGTTCTACAGTCGACCTGCTAGTAGTGGAAGAGAAACCGCTCTGTTGGAACCGTGCCAAGACGTGCGCTGGCCTTGTAGCGTAGCAGCAACAACAACATCGTTCTTGTTAGAAGCAAAATTTCGTTAGAATTTTCTTAGAGCGTTTCTTGCTCATAGATCGTTGACAGAAACATGGTAAATATAGGAGTTTTGTGAGTTTCTCATTTAAAGAGTTTATGTATATGTATATATATTATATCAAGAGTACATAATAGAGATCTCTATTATGTACTCTTGATATAATATATTATAATATATAATATATATATTATATTTATATATATATATATATTATAGTATATCTATATTCTCGTTTATATGTATAGAGTCGGTGTCGGGAACGAGGTTAAAGTTAAGCTGGGGGCACACCGAGCCGTATTTTTTCGCCGACCCTGGCGACGATTAAATTATCGCCAGCGAATTTATACGCGAGCCGATCCAGAAGCGCGCACACTACCGCGATTTGAGAGTGTAACTCTACGCATCGACCGGAATCACTGATCACATGATCATCAGCATGATATCCAACAACACGTCCGATTGGTTGAAAAATTGATCGCTCGACAAAATACGCGACACGGGGCCAACACGAGCGAATTTTTGCAAGTAAGATAAATCGCCGGCCGTAAATAAATCGGCCGAAATATTAATCATTTTTGATAACGGGCGATTTGTACGGGGCGTACGAAATCGGCGTCGACGTAACGCGGCACACGACGTTTAAAGGTAGCGGGGCACAACGAGCGTATTTTAATCGGCCGATCGCCGGCGAACTTCTTAAAATCGCTCGCAAAATTCGCCCCTGTGCCGCGTTCACAGAGTCGACTTAGAGCCGGCGTTTCGTATGCCGCGTACCCATCGCCGTATTAAAAATGTTATAATATTATTTCACCGATTATTCTACACCGGCAATTATTTATTGGCAAATCTCGCCTCGTGTGCCGTGTCCGCGTATTTTGATCGAGCGTTCGATTTTTTAAACAATCGGACGCTGTTGTTGATAATCATGTGATGCATCATGTGATCAATGTGATTCGCGTCGAGTGGCGCTAAGCGTCTGCTCTCAAATTCGCTAGGTGTGCCCCTCATGATCGGGCGTGATAAATTCGCTTGGCATAATTAATGTCGGATCGGGCGAAAAAATACGCTCGTGTGCCCCCAGCTTAAGACCAACGTATATATAAGTAAGTATATATAACAGGGTTAATTGTTACTCAACCGTGAAGATTGGAAACGCACCGCTAACGTTAAGAGTAATTTTGTTTCTGACAACGGCCCCTTGCATCGATCTATACATTTCTAGTACATGCCACATACTTATGGCTTTGTAATATACTAATACTAGTAAGATGCGCCAGTGTGCTGGACAGGATATTGTTATCATAAGCGCGGCAGGGATAGGCGATCGAACCGGATGGCAAGTTGATAAACCAACAAATATATAGATCTCTCTCATCACTATTCGATTTGAACAAACAAATATGATGGGTTCGAATTTATATGAAATCTAAAGTCAACTGTTCTGTTATCGTCGAGCGTATATCAGAAGATCGTAGTAAATATCATACACGAGTAGCTTAGTTCCGCATATACTGCTCGATACAGCGACCCGGCCTCACGAACTTGTATCAGCGGTGTATGTATATTAAATGTGTTGACTGCACCGACATGGGCATGTTTACCAGCTAGTGGTGTAAATAGGATGGGAATGGGTATGATAGGGTTAGGGTTGACTCAGCACTGACGTTCTCAGTTTGTTGTTTGCACAGTTATATATCGTCTGTATTGCACATAGAATGTCGTGGGGACCTGTGAGGGGCATCAACACCATGCGGTTTCATCAACATTTGCGCAGTTATATTTCATTTGTGTTTTACATGGGGGTAGGGTGAAATCGACGAGAGGTGTTAGTTACCATCACGTGTTACCATCATAAATGTTCATGCCATCAAATATAGTCATATATTATAATTATAATCGTATGATAATTAAATACGGACCAGTAAGAAACGCAACCGAAACCACTTGATCGTTCAATGACGCATCGCAAACTACCGGAATCGGGTCTGAAGTGAAGATCTGTCTCGGGATAGCGTCATATAGACGGTGTTAACCCGAGATAGCGCATAGTTCCTTCCGGCCGTTTTTAAATTTTGGCAATTTGTGAGGGCGCGAAGCGACCGAGTGGGGAGGGAGGGTGTGGGAGTATGTGTGCACGATGGAGATTTTGCAATTATTACACTAAAATGGAGCGATCTGGTGCATACCTGAGGTGAAATTCTTGCAATTTTTTTTTTGCTTGGTGGGGGGGTGGGGGTGTTCGTGCGAACTCCCTGAACCCCTCCTGGCTACGGGCCTGCAAAGATCGTCGTGACCTCTGATATACTTCCTCTTCGTACAGATGCACGCACACACACACACACAGGCCGCACGCACCGCACGCGCACGCGCACGACGCACCGCGCACGACGCAAACGCACGACGCCACCACGCACACGCATACGCAACACGCACACCACCCGCACGACACACACACACACCACAGCATCATGTATCGAACCATCAAGGGAATTGCATTCTCGATTCCCGAACATTATATATCTCTATTTCACACATAGCAGCCAGACATCAGCAGCCAGACATCTCCACCGCATTCTATTCCTCCCTACAGATGCTTTCATCACACCGCCCTGCTCAGCCCGCCTTTAGACAAACCGCGTGAAGGTCATGTAGGCTTATAGGCTATGCCACTAGCTACATGCAATTAATCATGATGGCAGAAGAGCTCAGACAATTATTCACTACCGAGAAAAGTAGGATGTCAGCCCCTAATAAACCTGCCGTGTGTGTGGGGGGGGAATATGTGTCAAAATTTCAATACGTTCAATTGAACAGTCAAGTTTATCATTCAACCATTCGATTGATTGTTCAATTGACCCAGTCATTTAATCATTCAAACATTCAATTATTTCGCTTGATTGTTCATTGATCTGATTGATTGTTCAGATTGAACAGTCAATTTAATCATTCAATACATTCAATTATTCGATTGATTGTTCCAACTTGAACAGTCAATTTAATCATACAAACCATTCGATTATTCGATTGATTGTTCAATTGATCGATTGATTGTTCAATTGAAACAGCAAATTTACATCATTCAACACGTTTAATTGATCAATTGATTGTTCAATTGATCAATTGATTGTTCAATTGAACAATCATTTAATTATTCAAACATCAATTGAACAATCAATTTAATCATTCAAACATTCAATGAACAATCAATTTTAATCATTCAATACATTCAATTGAACAATCATTTAATTCATTCAAACATTCAATTGAACCATCATTTAATCCAATTCACATTCATTGAACAATCAAGATTTAATTCATCAACTCAATTGAGGCAATTGTAATGAATGAATTGCCAAAAATTGAATCAATGAAGGCGTATTGAAGTCATGGAATGGAGCAATCGCCGAGGCTCCGTATATCTGCCAAATTAAACCCACATGCGCAGAGATAAAGACATGGACGGAAAACGTGTAGCACGTACGTTGCTAGAAACCATCGCCAACGTTTCCAGCTAAGTGGTGTGTACCAGCCCTGCGTTTTTAAACGTGCGTGTACTGCGCGCGTGTACGTGCGTGTACGTGCGTGTACGTGCGTGCAGTGCGTGTACCGCGCGTGCAACGAGTGCGTGTACCTGCGGTACCGCGCGGTGACGTGAGTGTCCCGCGTGTACGTGCCGTGTACGTTGCGTGCACGTCGTGTACCCGCGTGCACGCTGCGTATACCACCGCGTGTAC